ATCCCCTGTGGCCAGCAGACTCTAGCATACAGTAGGTGCTCAATACACATTCTCTGAAGGAATGAGTAAAGGATCCCTCAACTGCCCACAAAGCCAGGATCTAGTGTGGTAACTTTAAGCCAGGGGAATGCCATTTGCCCACTGTATGCCACGTTCAGATGCAGACTCCAACTGTTAGGAAGTATAATTGGCATGTCCTGCCTCACCATCTGAGGGTACACAATGCCACATGCCTTTGACTCGTCAGGTTAAAGCACCTGAGTATCCACTGGTCCCAAGAACGGAAAGGTGACCTTTCCAGCACATCATGGCTGGTGAACATGGGAGGCAGGGTCTGCGCACAGGCATGTCTGCCCCCAAGTCGCAGGCTCTCCTTCCTTCCCTGACACCATCCCTCCCACCCAGTCACTCTGACTCTGCTCCGGAGACTGGACTGAACATCTGGCTGCCTGCGGTTGACTCCTCAGGAGCAGAGTGAGTTCAAGGACTGGTAAGTCACCAGCAGCCTGGACTCCCACACATCTGTTCCCTGGGCACATGCATGCGTGCACCAGGACCTCCTGGAGGGCCAGCGTGGCCAGGGGTGGATGAGCTTTCTGCACCGGTCCCTTGCTATGCCCAGAGGTCACAGAGGTGCAAGTAGCAGGGAAAACTCTTCATCAGACACAGTCATGCCTGAGAAATGAAATGCCCATGGGAAAAGCATCTAGAAATTCCAGGCTGGATGAGGAGTCCTGAGTTCACTCTGCTTGGAAGAGAGTGCCCATGCCACCTCATGTTCTCCTTTAAAACTGTATTACAGATCAAAAATAATCGGCAGCAAAAAACAGCACCCCCACCCCATGCACACTATACAGCATTGCCAGTACCGGGTATTCTTATTCGTAACAGTCTCTGCTCACTGGACGTTGCCTGAGCAAGGGACCTGGTTTCTGTGTTATACCTACGTGCTCTGAGTCCTTGTAGTATGACATTCCCCCAATTCTGAGCCTCAGTTTCTTCATCTGTTCAATAAAGATCTTGGGAAAGACCATCTCTAAGGACTTGTCTAGAAAGACCTTCCAAGTCTGCTCTCTCCAGCACCTGCTCTGTTCACTCTATGGGAGGTAGCCGTCATTGGCCTCTCTAGACAGGGCACCTCAGGGCCACCTGCCCCTCTGGGGTCAGGCCAGGAGCACAGGCAGATACTGAGGCAAGAGGGATGACAATTCACGGATAAGAGAGTTCCCGCTCAATCCGACACACAAAAAAAGTCATCTTGGAAAGAGACCGGCCAAGCCCTCAGCATCACCCACAGCACTCCCACCACGTATTCACAAATGCCTGAGCACCTACTATGTGCCAGGCCCCACTTCAAGGTCTGGAAACGCATGCAGCTGTGAACAAAGCAGACAGGTTTTGGCTTCAGGGAGCTGACATTCTTCTAGTGGGAGAAAACAAACAAGTAAAGAGATGAAGAATAATAAAGAAATTACATCAGGCTGTTAAAAAATGCAGTAGGGAGACTGGACTGGGAGGACCAGGTGGGCTGCTACTTTATACACAGTGGGGTGCGATGGCCTCTCTGACAAGCCGGCATTTGTGCCAGATCTGGTGGGTAAAGATGTCTGAGGGAAGCCTGTCCAGGGAAGGGAGTCGGTGAGTAGAAGAGTCCTGGGCACGTGTACCTGAGGTGTTGAAGGACTAGCAGAGAGAGAATGGGGAGAAGGGGCCCAGGGGCCTTGAGGGCCACGGAAAGAACCTGTCTTTCTGTTTGGGAGGGGCCATCATTGGGAGATAGTGGAGGGAGGGCTGAGTGTGACTTGTCTTTAAGATCTGGCTGCTTTTTGAGACTAAATTGTGGTGGACAGGAGGCAACATGAAGGCAGTTAAGAGGCTACAGGGACAATCCAGAGGAGGGGAAGGTGCAGGGAGGGGACGGGGAGAGCATCTCTTGGAAGCACACGCTTCTGCCACATCCCCTCCCTCGCCAGCAGCCCAGTGCAGGTCTCCGTCTGGGGGCGGGGGAGGGGGGACCCACCGCCACAGCCGCCTCCGTGGCTTCCCGGCTCTGCCCTGACCTGGTCCCCACCCCTCATGACGCGGAGGCATCCTGGGCACTCCTTCAGCCCCCGTGCCCTCCAGGCACACAGCTTCCGGGCCAGCCAAGCTGACCTCTGACGTATTGCTCCAGCCACTAAGCTGTGGGCACTGCAGGTCTCTGCTGTATGTGCGTCCCTTTTCCCAAGGGTCCTTCCTCCCACCCGGGCCCAGGAGCTTCCTAACCGTAATACATAGGAGGCACTGCCATTTGCCAAGAAAGCAGGTCAGGCACCCTACCAAGCACCGTTCGTTCTTTATTTCATCATTATTTCATCATTGTGTCTATCACTATGGTACCATTTTACATGAGAAAACTAAGGTGCAGAGAAGAGAGGTGACCTTCCAGTGCTGCATGGCTAGTAAGTGTGGAGGCAGGATTTGCATCCAGGTATGTCTGCCCCTAAGTCTCAGCCCTCCTTCCTCTGTGAGTCTCTCCTGACTTAGGTGAGCAGAGCAGGCCTCCTCCAGGAACTGCCTGGATTTCAGCACAGCCCACACTGTGAGCCAGGGTAGGTCCCCAGTGCTGCACACACAGGCACACTGCAGGAGCTCACGGCTACCTTCCCAGTTCAGTGTGAGCGGCAACCTTCCCTGGGCATCTGGGCAGCACCACTTCTCAAGCCTGGGCCTCACTCCCAGCCTGGATGGCAGGCAGATTTCAGACCACTTACCCCCACAACCATGCACCCCACCTCCCCACTCCCCCACTTTGCCCGGGAGCTGTCAGGAGTGACCAGGGTGAATCTGGCCTTGGAGAAGGCAGGAAGCTAAGGAAAGTGGGCACTGAGCCAGATGCTGCCACCCTGCCTGAGACTGTAAGTGCCATCAAATTAGGGAGGGCCTGGCGCACAGCAGGCACCCATCGGGTGCCCCAGAGATGTGTGATCCTGAGTGAGGAGGGATAGAGGCAAACCACCCTGATACCTCAGTGCTTCTGAAATGAGGTTAACACCTTGAATCACTCAAAACCGCCAAGCCCTGGGAATTCCAACTTTGTGCAACACGTGCTTCCCCTTTCCCCAAATGCCCCTCCAACCTTCCCCTGCCTGGCGACCCCCCAGTCGGAACAGATACGGAGAGCTGCCATTTGCCAAGAATCCAACAAAATGCTCCCAGGGTTTTATTCCTGGGTTATGGGTGACTTTAGTTCTGTCTTCACACCTTTGCGCAGGGCTTGTGTATTTCCTGCGTGTGCGCACGACCATTTGGCCAGCCAGGGAGCCTAGCTCCCAGCTTGAAGGGATGGGCTCTGTGTGTCTGTGGGTGTGGGGAGCCCGGTCACCCCCTGCGGTGACACTTCTGCTCTCTTCATCTTGAAGGTAATGTGGAGCCACTGAGGACTTGAGCCCAGGGCACACGACGCGGTCAGTCTTCCCGCGACCTTGGCACCGCGGATACGCCGTCAGCAGGCTGGTATATTCTCTCTGGTCCTTTTCTGACACCTCCATCACGCAAGCAGTGTGAGCAGCACACAGGCGACGCACTGAAGGGGACCCGATGGCACACACTCTTCTACACCTTGTTTTATTTTTCACTCGTAAATATGCTGGCCCCCATATCCCAGCCCCAGGTGGTGGGGACTGCACAACCATACACAAGTCCCAAAACACATCGACCTGTGTGTTTGCAAGGATGTGTCAATTACTCCTAAATAAAGCCATTTGAAACACGGTACACATTTCATGTCAGGCCAATAAATACAGCTTCACACCCTGACTGCCCAGGGCTCCTTGTGTTTCCTCACCTGGCGGCCCCACCCTGCCTTGCACCTATTTCCAGTCCTGGCCACTGAAGCCGCACCCTCCGCCCTGTGCTTTCACTGACAGCACTGTGGCAAGCATCTGGCACTTCCATCTTGGGGCTGTCTTAATTACTTCTGAGCACTGGTTCCTAGAAATGAGCCTCTTCAGTCAAAAGAAATGTAATTTAGGGTTTTAGATATGGATTACTGATTTGTCCCCAGGAAGGTTTTAAAAAGGCCACCTTCTCTCCACTGCCAGGGCACAGGGGCCTTCTGGGCTCTCAGGCAGGAGTGGGCGTGGCTGAGTCCCACTTACTAAAGGCTCCAGCCAGGCATGGAGCCCCAGGGTGCTAAAGCAGCAATGGGCTGTACTTCCTGAGGGACCTCCTAAGGGCACAGCTGCCATCCAAGTGGTTTCCACGCAGTCACTTGATCAATCCTCCCAGTACCTGGGGCTGTCTTCCCTTTTTGTCTACAGTTTAGTAGCTGAGGAAACCGAGGCACAGCTGGGAATTGAACAGCATTTGCCAGGTGAAAGGAGTTTCTGCCTGTGGCCCAGCTGGGTCACCTGGGACTGGCTGGAGGCTGGAGGCTCAAACCTCACCAGGGTGAGGCAGGGGCACCGGGCACTTGACTCTCAGTTTCCTTATCTATCAAAGGGAATAACAGCCCAGGTTGGCTGAGGGTTAAATAAAATCAGGTAACTAAGTGTCTGGCACCTAGCGGGGGCTCAACTGATGGAAGTCCACCTGTGGCTCAGGGGGCTGCTCTGGGAACCGGCAGGCATGAGCCAAGGAAGATTACAGACCCCTGGAGGCAGTGGGGCTGCGGGGCGCCTCTCCAGGCTCTGTCCATGTCTGGGACAATGGCTTCTGCTCTTTCGAATCAAGCCTGCTCACTGGATGTGAAGACTACTTTTCACCTCATGTGCCGTCCCCGTTTGCCAGCCCAGACTTTGCACCAGTGTGACATCCAGAAGGCTGTGTTCCTGCCGGAGTCGGCTCCTGGTGGGGGGGAGTGTGGGCAGGGGGAGGGTGTGCGGGCCATGCCCAGGAGGGACGGAGGCTCTCCTAGTCCCGTGGCCAACCCTGCTTCTGCTGGAAGCTCCCGGACCACTGGGGTCCTTCTAGAGGGAGGACAAACAGAGGCACACAGGAGAGAAAGGACACTCACTCACCAAGTTGCAGGTGGAAAAGAGAGGTGTCGCTTCCCCATATCCACTGGAAATGGAGGCTCAGAGAGGAAAGCGACTCTCAAGAGTGTGCGGTTCGTGTGGGGAGCCTACTCTGAACCCAGCCCCTCCACTCCTCAGCTGACTGCCCTGAGCAAGCCCCGCCCTCCAGTCTGTCAGTGGGGGTGATAACACCTGCTCCCTCCTGGGGAAGAAGGGGGCCTCAAGGGGACAAGGCTGGCAAACAGCACAGGGGGCTGGGGACCAGGGAACCCTCTCTCTCCACCCACCCCATTCAACCTCCCTCTGCCAAGATCAAAGCCAGTTCAGAAGGGTCCAGCCAACCCCTCCTGTCCGGCCCTCCCCGGTTGGAACATCCCCACGGACCGGCGCTGGGCCCCTCCCGTCTCCTCCTCCTCCTCCGGGGCCTCAGCCACGCCCACTCTGGCTCTGCGCCGTCGGCTCGGGAATACAGCCAAGTCTCCCTTACTGAAAAGCACACACAACGGTACAGCAAAATAAAAATTAACAAAAACACACGCCAGCAGCAGCAAAAATAAAACCCAAGGGATAACCTGGGAGAAGGTCTTTGCCACAAAGAGACCAGGCAAGAGGCACTTTGCTCACTGATGGGCTCAAACAGATGAATCGGAAACACACATACTGTGGTCACTCACAATGTACGGAAGTCAAAGCGTGATGCTGTTCACGTTAAACTTACACAGTGCGCTGTATGTCAGTTATAGCTCAATAAAATGGGGGGGGGGACACAAAGATGCTAGACATTCATACTCTTGACTCGGTAATTTCATTTCTAAGAAATAACAAAAAAAATGCATGCTCACAGGAAGCACGTTATGGCCCTCCCTCTGGAGAGCCAGCTGGCTGTGGGTACAGCCCTGCTGGGGGTTCACATGCACTGCCTGCCAGGCAATTCTCTTCCCAAGAAGAATCCAGCAGTGCATAAATCTGTGTGTAAATTCAGTGTAACATTATTTAAAAGAGCCATATACAAAAGAAAAGAAACTCTAAATGTCAAATAAGATACATTAACTAAATAGGATATAACAATACCTAAGTATCAAAAAGTATAAAAAGTAATGTTTGAGAGGTGAGGAATTTGAAAATTTTAGACTAGATACTCAAATATGTAAAAAAGGGTTATTAAAAAGTCTGGCAAAGAGAGAACATGCTCACAACAGTTATGCCCCAGGGATGCAAGCAAGGTCATTTCCCCCTACTTCTGACAGTAAATACATTCAAACATTCGTGAACATCCAGTATGTGCCAGGCTGAGTGGGCATCGGCCTTCAGGCAAGTTTCCTCCCCTCCGGGAGCTTCCAGTCTGGAGAGGAGTCAGGCAGCAGTGCAGTCAGCAGCTGCGAGCGCACTAGGGGCTACCCCTCTGGGAGGGGGCGCAGTGCAGGGAGCACGGCTGGCGAGAGCCTGGCGGGGCAGGGCCACGGGGGAGCCGTCCACCCACCTGCCTGGAGGGGAACCAAGAGGGGTGGCGGCTGGGGGTCGGGGGTGAGGTGTTTCCACACTTGAAGCCTGCCTTTCTCCTCTGCCCCTTCTTCCAGTCTTGTCAAAAATGTCCCTGGCAGCCCCCTTTGTCCCTCTGCCCTGGTCCCAACTCAGACCTTGCGGGACCTGCATCCCCACTGCCTGGGTGCTTGGTGATGGGGACGCCTATGGCCAGGTGGGTTTGGGAGTCGCTGTCTGGGGCTAGTGAGGTGAGAGATAGGTCACCCCCTCCTGACTCTCTGAGGAAGGCCCCGGACACACACTGGGCATGCGGTCCTCACACTGGGCAGCAGGCTCGCTCACCTGGGCTGCTCTAGGGCTTCGATTGGTACAAGGAAACAAAACACATTTTAGAGAAGGGTTTCCATTTTGGAGTTTGTCCTCTAATAGTGGGCTGTCCCTGCAGACAAGCCGGAATGGGCACCTGAGGCTTAGAAACATTTTTGGGACGAAAATGAACAACAGAGAGGCCTCCATACCCACTTCTTTCCTTTGGGCCAGATGTGGGGCCTTCCCCTTGGGGATTTGGCTGTGGGAACAGAGTGCAGGCGGGCATGAAGGGTGTGGTCCTGGCCAGCCTGGGCCCTGCTGTGTCACCCTGGGCAGGGTGGCTCCCCCTCCTCTGGGAGGAGGTGACAAAGGGGTGGTCCTTGGGCAGCTGGAGGCACAGATGGAGAGCCAGAGCCGGAGCACACCAGGTGCTCGGTGATTTGATAAACGACAGGAGAAACAGATTTCGGTGACCTCAAGGGGCCTGCGAGGAGCAGTCCATCACCAAGTGTGTGGGGAGGGGCTGTCCTGAGGAGGGTGGGCGTAGGGGCGATGGCTGTTAACCCTCTCAGAGCCAGAGGCCCAGCAGAGCCAGGCAGGGAGGTGGGAACTTCAACCTCCAAGGTGTTGGATGAGGACACCGAGGCCAGGGGACTCCCCTAGAGGTGAAGGGGAGAGGGCTCTGGGGGGACCTCCCAGCCGGAGCCTCTCCCAAGCACATCACACTGCCACTCAGCCTCAGTGCTGGCTACCTGGAGGCACGCCGGAAGGAGGGGTCGGCGGCGACTCCGGATCCCCGGGGCAGCGCTGGGGCCCGACCTTCCGACTCTGCGGCTCCGACAAGCCCTGCCCTCCCCCTGTAGGGCCCTTCCGCCTCTCGGCACGTCCAAAGCCCCAGCATCCCTCCAGGCCGGGGCCGGGGCCGCCTGCTGCTGCCCAGCCCTCTGCCCGGCCGCAACCCCTCGGGCCCCGGGCCGGACCCGCGCGCGGCCAGGCCTCCGACGCGGTCGGCGCCCCGGGACAGAGCGGCGCGCGGCCCAAGGTCGCAGCGCGGAAAGCACCCTCGGCAGGCTGCTCGCCCCCGACTCTCTCCCGCGGCGGGCCGGCGGGGGTGCTCAGCCGCGGGGCGCCTAGCGGGCCGCGCCCTCCGTCCGCGGGCCGGGCTGCGGCGCAGCCGCCGCGCTCAACTTCGGGGCGCATTCGGGCGCAGGCAGCGCGCCCACAAATGCCCCTCCGGAACAGGTGGCCGGCGGCCGCCGAGCCCCCCCCCCTCCCGCAGGGAGCGTCCCCCCGCCGGAGCCTGCGCCCCCGGGAGCGCGGCCCGAGCCCCCGCCGCCCGCCGCCCCTCCGCGCGCCCCCCGTACCTCCAGCTCCGCGGCGGCGGGCGGCCGTGCCCCGAGCCCGGCGGCGGCAGCCCCGCCTCTCCGGCCCAGGGCGTGGTCACGCCGCCCCGCCCGCCGCCGCCCCTGCCGGGTCCCGGCTCCCCGGCCCGCCGCCCGCCCGCTGCCCGCCCGCTGCCCGCGCCCGCCGGACGGCCGCGGCCCGCGCGTGGAGCGCGCCGGTGGGGCCCCGCCGCCTACGCGGGGTGAGACTTCCCACTTCCCCCATTTAGCAGACGAGAAAACTGAGGCTCGGAACGGTTAAGCAACAAAAGCGTCACGCAACTGGGAACCAATACGGAGCCCGGGTCGGCCTGATGCCATCGCCTAGAATATATTTATTACCCCGCCAACCCCCTCCCCGACTGCGGCCGGGCTAAACGCTGTGCCGGCATCACCCAGCGTCTGCCTGAATTCAGTCACTGGCGTGGACCTGCAAGACTAGCGAGTGTCCTTGCTGCTCGGTGCCCCCGCTCGCCCCCCTCCGCCGCTGCTCCCTCGCTGTGCGGTCCTCACTCCTGTCCCTCGGCTGAGGACTGATGCCCAGGCCGCAGAGCACGCGGCCACCACCCCGTCCCTGCCCCAAGAATGAACGGTCTGGCACTTAGTAGGTGGCCCATATTATCCTTGGAATGAATGCATCAGAAGAAAATTCCCGCCAGTTCCCAACACCCTTCTGCCCACCTGGCACCCCGTTACCTCCCAGGGCCAGGCTGGCCTAGACACCCCTCCTCTTGTCCCCAAGGTCCCACCCTTTGCACGGACATCCATTCAGCAAGTCTGCCCTCTCCTGTCCCCGGATCATTCCCATCAGTCCACGTGCTGTTACTGGTTTTGTCTTAAAACTAAAGCAAGAAAATAAAACCCCTTTTGCAACCCCTCTGACCCCCACAAATGGCTACCTCTCTTTTCTCATTTCCTTTGCAAAAAAAGTCCTCCAAGGGTTGTCTTTCCCTCATTCTCCCTTACAATCCCTCCCCACCCCTAGCCCACTATAAATCTGTCATTTTGGGACCCCAGTGATGCCCATGCTACTAGGTCCATGCCAGCCTGGGTCTTTGTCTTACTGGCCCCCCCAGCAGTGTTTGCCAGCGCTACCTACTCCCTCTGCCCTGAAGCACCTTCCTCTGACCTTCCTGCCCACCACACGTGCCTGCTCTCCTCCTGGCCACACCCAGCCCTGTTCTTCACAGACCCCCTCACTCCCAACCTCTAAAGTCACTGCCGTGCTCAGCTCCCCATCTGCTCCCTTGCATGCTCTTTGCACCCCTGCTGTCCTCCAGTCCCATGGCTTTGGACACACACCCACCTGCCGACGGTGCCCAGGTGCGGCTGGCAGCTTGGGCCTCCCCCTGACCTCACATACTAACTGCAAGCTCAAGACCTCTCTTCAGTGCTGCATCCAAGGTCCCCTGATCCCCTCAGTGCTGTCCTCCTGCGGCTTCCCCATCTCGTTTATCAAAAACTCCAGGTCCTCAGGCCCCACACCTCGACTCCTCTCTCTGCCCACCACACAGGCTTCCAGCATCCACCCTGACAGCAGAGCCCATTGGCTCCACACTGAAAACATATCCAGAATCTGACACTTCTCAGCCGACCCCTTATCCCAGCCACCAACCTCCCCCCTGGCTGAGTGCAGGGACCTCCTCTCACTGGTATTCCTGCCTCCCCCACTTCCTGTCCAAACAGCAGCCCAGGGCATGGTGGTAGGCAGAACTGGGTCGGAACACATTCCTTCTCTGTCCCATCCCCCCCAGCGGCCCCTGGCAGAACTCGGAGGAAAAGCACCGCCCCTGTCTCACTGTGCCCTCATCCGCGTCCTGCCCACCCCCCTCCGGGGTTGGCGCT